AAAGCCAGAACACATGCCTATAACAAAAGAAGAAAAGAAAACTTAAAATGTGCTCATTTTGGCAAATAGGTAAATATTTAAAATCAAGACTCATACAATCAGATTTAGAGACTGTTTCCTATCCATTGTCTTATCTACATTTACTCCTATATTTTGAACTGCTCTCCAAGTGGTACCAAGTCCTAAGAACAAATAAAGAGAACTAAAGAAAATTTATTTATTTTTTTCCCCCACAATACTAAGGATTGAGCCCAGGGTGCTCTACCACTAAACTAAATCCCCAGCTGCTTTTACATTTTATTTTGAGACAGGGTCTTGTGAGTTGCTTAGAGCCTTGCTATATTGCTGGGGCTGGCCTTGAACTTTCAGTCCTCCTGCTTCAGCCTCCAGAGTCACTGGAATTACAGAAATGCACCACTATACGGGGCTTAATTTCTCCTTTTAAAACTATAAATCTAGCTATTTAAAGGAAACAAAGATTGAGAGAAATATCACAAAAGTGAAAATAGAGGGAAGAACTCCATAAAAGAACTATTTCACACCTTGAAAAGTTTAAGTACTACTAGGATTCACATAGTTAACTATTTAAGAAAATAAAACTATTAAGAATCCAGCTAAGCCAGGCACAGTGGCACATGCCTGTAATCCCAGTGGCTTGGGAGGGTGAGACAAAAGAATCATGAGTCTTCAAAGCCAGCCTTAGCAATGGCAAGGCACTAAGTAACTCAGTGAGACCCTATCTCTAAATAAAATACAAAATATGGCTAGGGATGTGATTCAGTGGTTGAGTGCCCAGAATTCAATCCCTAGTACCCCCCACCACCACCAAAAAAAAGGGAATCGAGCTGATCCCCCCTCTTCCCAGGGCTGGGGAGAGAACTCAGTATTCATGCTAGTAGGCAATAGTTTTAAAGTTACCTCCCCAGCTCTTTTGATCCCTAAATAGCTAAGTCTTTGAACTTGCCAGCCTCCTGCCTCAGCCTTCCAGGTAGCTCGGTATTATAGTAATGTGCTACCACACCTAGCTATTTTTTCTTGAAACGGGGTCTGATATACTGCCTAGATTGGTGTCAAACTCCTGGGCTCAAAAGTGATCCTCCCATACCTCATTCAACCTCCCAATTAACTGGAATTATACGTGTACCCCACAGTGCCCAGCTTACGACTGAATAAATTTTAACAACTTTTGGATTAAGTACAGACTTAAACTAAATGCTGAATCGTGTAAATAAGGTGAAAAGTGATGGATCATAAAAATGTTTTATTTGGCTTTAAAGTCTTGAGTTAGGTGCCAAAAAACTAACTCTAGCTGTCACCATGTAAAAATTGAGGGACCTCATGTAACTGACTCACTCTAATTTCAAATGAAAAGTACAAGACCTAAGAACACTAGGCCCAAATTTCCCTATTACAACAATTCAATGATGTGGCCTTCTCTTTAAAAGATACTCCAGGCCTGCAAAGACCAACTCAAATTCCCACTAATTTCACTTTGTCACCCACTTAAGATTCCATAAACATTTGACTTTGAACTCCCCATTCCATAATGAAAAAGATCACAGTTTTGGCAAAAATGTCTGCAATAAAAGGGGAAAAAGCCAAACCTTACCCAATCGGTAAGCAACAGGCAATCAGAGCAAAAAAAGACTGGATGTGGGCACTGGATATTAATTCTAAAACCAAAATTAAAACAAACTTGATTTTAAGTCAAAAGAACATAATATAATGTCACAATATTTCTACACTACTAAAGTACAGTATATAACTAAAAGTAGAAATGGAAGAGGGTTACAAGATAAGCAGGTTAACTGATAAACAGCAAAACTGCTGAGATGTGACTGTCCATTACAATATCTACCGCATTCAGTCCTTATCACTTTTAGGTGGAGATTAGGATTTCCATACTTTAGGGAGCACTGTCAAACAAACTGCCTCCCATTAAGGCAAAAATCATATAAGTACTACCATTTGATTTGGTAATTAAATAATCATTTTATAAATCAATCTTTTGTTAAACAATTTGTAATGTTTAAACTCTCAGTTAAATAATCATAATATAAACAGTTCCTTAAAAACTGCTAAGAGTTTAAAAATACAATAAGCTCTCCAAGAAATCCACCTAAAATCAAGGACATGACAAAGGAAAAATTGTGGCATCTCCCAATCTTTTTTTTTCCCTTTGGAATTTTTTCTTTTAATACAGACAGACTAAAATAGACAGCAAATGTTGGAAGAAAATACTCTCTGGGATACATATAAAAACAAAAAGAGTAGAAGTAAACGAAAATATCCATTCAAATAAAATTGTCAAACACTGGCTTTGAGATGTGGTACTAAACAAAATTTGTGCACTTGCTCAACTCACTGAGCTCTAATTTTTCTCATCTGCAAAATCATAACAATAATGACTTATTCATTGTCCTGTTTTGTACAATAAATGAAAAAGTTAAATTATGTGTATTTATAAGTAATTATGGTGTAAATAAGACTATGTAGTAGAGTATCTTAAAAAAAGGTAGGAGACTTTAAACATTGTAAAGAAAGATTGGGGAAAAAAATAACAATATAAAGAGGAATAATAAGTATTAACATGATTATAGAAACTATAGATTTTATTATCAGAAAAAAGGATTAAGTAACATAATCTAGGCCAAGATAATCTATTACAATAAAGATAATAATTAAAATTTTAAATTAAAGACCCAGTGATACAAAATATATGTTTGCAGTCACAAAACTGAAAGAAAAGTATTCTTCTATTTATACACCTAAATATATTACTAGGGATATAGGAACAAGTAGGACACTCCCCTACAAAAGAAAAATAAGCATGTAAACAAAAACAACTAAGCAATGAGATGGGGACAGAGGGAAAACAATGGGCTACAAGAATAAACAGAGAAAATACTTCTTACTGTGATACATTTTTTCCATATCCAAGCTATTAAGATAAAGAAGACCTAAATATGTTTTTATGTTAAAAGGAAAACTGTGGAAGCAAAAAAAAAAAAATTGAAAACTGAGAAATAAAATCAAGAGGCTGGGGACATGGTTCAAAGGCAAAGAAATTGTGTAGCCTGTATATGGCCTTGGGTTCATTTGTCCTAACACTGTATTTAAAGATAAAAGGAAGGAATAAAACACTGGGGTGGAGGAGCAAGTAGAAGCAAAGCAGGGGAGAAGAGAAGAAGAAAAGAAAAACTTGACTTGCGTATGTTTTAGAGAATATTACCTTCTTGAAGACCTGGATGTATCACCTGCTTGTGCCTCAAGGACTTCAAATCTTCTATCAATTCCTTTTCCAACTGGGAAATTCTTTCTCTGCAACCTACTCACAAAAGAAACCCCAAAATATTGTATAACACAGAAGAGTAACGTTGCATATTTCACTACCAGAGGATAAACCACAAATGTATCTCATTTTACACTATTATGCAATACCTGGGTCATTTGTGGTTGTTGCCTGGAGATTAGATGGTTCTTCTGTTATCCCATCAACTGCATGAATGTCTAGAGCTTCCTACATATTAAAAATGAAAATAAAATGCAGTGAGTATCACTTCTAAAATTTTTAAAAGTAAATCAGCATTATAAAATAAAAATTTAAAACCAAGGAAAACACCCCCATGTATACAGTTTTAACTCCAATTTCACAGAACTGGAGCAACTTTTTTTCCCATAACTTCGGTTTTTTTTTTTTTTTTAAATGTTCTACACTAACATTACTTTAATAATCATGAGCTGGGAATATAGTTCAGTAGTATAACACTTGCCTGGCACATGTGAGGAACTGGGTTTTTGTTTTGTTTTTTTTTTTTTAAAGAGAGAGAGAGAGAGAAAATTTTTTGATACTTATTTTTTAGTTTTCAGCGGACACAACATTTTTGTATGTGGTGCTGAGGATCGAACCCAGGCCGCACGGAGTGTGCTAAAGCTTGAGCAACATCCCCAGCCCCAAGGACCTGGGTTTGATCCTGAAAATGAAGGGAAGAAAAAAAAAAGAAGAAGAAGAAAAAGAAATACACACACACACACACACACAATTACTCAGCTAAACTCAAACTTATGCTAATTTACATACTTACTGCTTACAGCCTAAATATATCTTACTCAGCAACTAACAAGGAGGAAAAGAATAGAATTCAACATCCAACATCTGTTTAGCCAACCTAGAAAGACGGCGACTTTGCAAAAATTAAAAAGAAAAATAATCTGGTTGGAAAGTTGAAATTGAATTTTAAAAAGAAACGATATTGTTGGGTGTGGTGGCCCATGTCTGTAATCCCAGCAACTCGGGAAGCTGAGGCAGGAAGATTGAGAGTTCAAAGCCAGCTTCAGCAACTTATTGAGGCACTCAGCAACTCAGCAAGACTATGTCTCAAAAAGAAAAAAAAGAAATGATATCAATGTGTATGACAGCAGAACTAAGAAGACTATTAAATATTTATTTCCCCAATAGCATTCCATTAATACTGGCCAGGGATTAGAAGTGAAAGGGTTGGATGGGACGTCTCCAAAGCAGAAATGAACTTTTTTTTTTGCGGGGCAGGGGTGGGGGACAGAAGGTTTGAACTCAGGGGTACTTAGCCACTGAGCCCAAACTCCAGCCCCTGTTTATTTTTTATTTAGAGACAGGGTCTACCTGAGTTGCTTAGGGCCTCAAAAAACTGCTACAGTTGGCTTTGCACTCACAATCCTCCTGCTGCAACCTCCCAAATCACTGTGATTACAAGCATGCACCGTTGTACCCAGAGTCCATTAACTTTTTATTCCCCCCTTCCCTTTTATGGCTACAAGAGGCGGGCTGGGGATGTGGCTCAAGTGGTAGCCCACTCGCCTGGCATGCGCGAGGCACTGGGTTTAATCTTCAGCACCACATAAAAAGATACTGTATCCACCTAAAACTAAAAAAAAAAAAAAAAGCATGCTTGGCAGTTGCTCTACCATTGCGCTACATCCCCAGCTCTTTCTATTTTTTATTTTGAAGGCAAGGTCTAAAGTTGCTCAGACCGGCAATGAACTTGTTATTCTCCTGCCTCAGCTTCCTGAGTAGCTATGAGGCAGGCTGCAATACCACACCTGGCTTCTTATGCCTTTTAAAAGTACGTAATGATGAAAATTGCAGTAAGACTCAAAGTTTGAAAAACTCAACCGCAGCATCTAAATACTGAAAAGAATCATGCTGCTCTTTTCGAAACAGGGTCTGCCTAAATTGCCCAGGCTATCCTTGAGCTTACTATCCTTTTGCCTTAGCCTCCCAACTAGGTGAGTTTTATAGGCATGCATCACCATGCCCAATCAGATATAATTTTTTAAAGTATATTCAAATAAAATATCTTAAGTGATGAGTGCTTACTAAATCAAACACTATGGAGGCACTTCCCCTCTATATCACACCCTTGCTATCTATCCATTATTCACAAAATGGGAGTTAGTTATCAGCCAATACAGACGTGAAGAATGACTAATAGGCCTTGGAAAGAATGCTGGAAATTACATTCTTACCTTGGACTCAAAGGAAACAAAGAGAACACCATCCACATCTTCAAGATCAGGCTTCACATCAGGAAAGGTACCACTAGGAATTATAGGGGTATTCTTGGAAGAAGTTAAAGTCTTTCCTGTGTTTTTAGGTGGTCGTCCTGCCTTAGAGAATCTCAATTTTCGAGGCCTTCCTCTTTTTCCAGGAACATTAGAAGAGGCATTCTGATTGGCATTTACATTCTTTGAGGTTCCTGAGATTTTAAACATAGTTGTTCGCTTTCTACTCGGGTCTTCTTTTCCTGAAAATGAATCCCCAGTTGAACCCTTTGAACTGTCAAGTATTCTTTCTGAGCTAATGCTGTCAAATATATCAGGACATTTCCATTGAGGTTCTTTAACTAAGGGACATTTTTGTACTACTCTGAGATCCGGTGAATGTTTTCTAAGACCATTTTCTGATTCCTTGTCTAAGTAGAAACTAGTACCATTAGAATTTTCAATATATGTAGGCAAATATTCTAATTCTCCCAATACAGGAGATTTATCCTTTCGAGATGTGGAAAGTACGTTATCAGGCAGTTCAGAAATCTTCACTGTGCTTTTGGTGACAGCACAGGGCTCCAAATAGACTACAGGCATCTTTCCAGTGTCTAATTTGAACATTTTAGCTTTAGCAACACCTGATGGGCTGTTTGGTAGCCATTTAGAAGATGGATGATCAGTTTCTAAGTTATCAACTTTATTGTGCCTTTTTAGTTGTTTCTCTAATATAGGATCATCGTCACTGTTTGAGTATACATCTGTTTCTTCATCTGTGTCTTCCTGTTTTATAGTGATACCTTCTGGGCATCCACCAACTTCATAGTCATAGTCATCTAGAGGTTCCTCTTTAATGACAACATTGAAGTTTCCATTCGGGTCTAATGGTGAGGCAATATGGGAGCCATCTTTAAAATTGTTCCCGACAAAGCTGAAGAGACAAGGGAAGGAGGAACAAAAAGTACAGAACTATTCATTATCCATAAACAAAGCTCAGAAGGAAAAAAGGTTTTGAAACAAAGTAACACATCAGATCTCATGAAACATTCCTCCAAAATACTCTGTATAACCTAACAAGATCTCAAAAGCAGTGTATCAACAGATTACACTTTTACATTTTTTTTGTCAATTTTTCATTTAAAAAATACAAAGAAAGAGTAAGGTTTACTCTTATTATTAAATTAAAAATTCAGGATATAACACTTATTTTTCAAGGAACTCAAGGGATTTTAATACTCAGCTGGCACTGATCCAAAAATCATACAAATATTGACACACTAACAATTGTGAGCAAAGAAAAATTGCACCTTCACAACTAGGAATTGCAACAAACTAGGAAAAGTTTTACAAATTGCCAGCTGATCTTCTCATGTGTTTGAGATAAGATTTACTAACACAAAACCTAACATCTTTTTTTTGATTGTTGTGGGAGTAGGGATGGAACCCAGAGGCATTCTCCTATGAAGCTACATTACCAGTTTTTGTGTGTGCGTTGTTTTGTTTTGTTTGGGGGGGAGGGGGTTTACTAATGATTGAACCCAGAGGTGCTTAGCCACAGAACTGCATCCCCAGCACATTTTATTTTGAGGCATCTTAACCATGTTGAAGTATACAGTGTTTTTAGAATATTCACAATATTATTACAAGACAATTTTTCACAACTTTAAAAACTCACTTCCAATGTAAAGAATTTGTGGGTAATTTTTTCAAATAAAAAAAACACTATTGGGCTGGGTTTGTGGCTCAAGTGGTAGAGTGCTTGCCTAGCAATATTAGGCACTGGGTTCAAACCTTAGGACCACATAAAAATAAAATAAAGATATTGTATCCACCTAAAACTAAAAATTAAATAAAAAATAAACAAAATAAAGGCATTCTGTCCATCTATAACTACAAAAAAATTTTAAAAACACTATTAATAAATAGCCATTGAAAGGATAAAAATTATAACAATATACCTTGAGGACATAGCTGGACTCAAGTTTAATTATCTAAGATTCTATGTAAGTGGTACAGCTGGAATTAGAATTCTCTAGATATAGGGAATACAAAACTCTGAAATCTATATCTCTAAGATTTCCCCCACATATCTACACAAGTCAAAAATGTTAGCAATACATCATGTGTGATGGTATCACAACAACTTAGGAGGCTGAATGAAGCAAGAGGATCCCAAGTTTGAGGCTAGTCATAGCAACCCCGTCTCAAAATAAAATATAAGGAAGGCTGGAGATGTAGCTCAGTAATAAAGTACTTTGGTTCAATCCTCAGTTCAATCCTCAGTACAAAACAAAAAACAAAAAACAAAAAACCCTACATACTACCACGACACCCTTTCACAAACAAATAAGAGATAATCAAGTAGAATTATAGGCATATTTTCTTCACTTCAGTCTAACACTGAAGATGGCACTTTTCTACACACAAACACACAGCATTTATGCAATCATATTTTGGTCCAGTCAATCACTTTAAAATAAAGTAGGTAAGTTTCGATTTCCATAGCAGACTAGCTCGTAGCAGAGTAACTCTCCATTTAATACTAGAAAAGCCAGACTTCAAAGGTTCCCCCCCCCAAAAAAAATATTTTTTAAAATCCATTTGAAGACATCAAAAAAAATATCGAGGCAGTTGAGGACTCAAAGGGAAGGAAATAAGGCAATCTAATTAGATAACCAATAATTCAGGCACTTTTATATTCATAATCTTCATTACTGAAGCTATCTTTCTAAAATATTCAATTGAATTCCTGTTATTTTCCTGTTCAAAAGCATTTCAAAGTCTTTGGAAACTAAATAAAAAGTGTAAATACCTGGTATGCTTTTCAAAGTCCAAATACAATCTATTCTCAATCCTTTCAAGCTCATCTTAAACAAAAACCTATGTTGTACCTCAAATGATTTCACACAAACCTTCACTTTAGTATCTAATTATGAAACAATATATTTGCAGCACATATCCATCATTAATAAAGCACTAATTTTTTACTACTAATTCCGATTAAAGTCACCGTCTTTACAAAGATTTATCTCAAATATGCACAGCAACCATTACATGAATGGTTCCTGAACAACATAAAATCTTAACCTTAATTAAAAATCCATCAATATACAAGCAATAATAAGTGTTGGCGAGGATGTGGAGAAAAAGGTACACTCATATATTACTGGTGGCACTGCAAATTGGTGCAACCGCTATAGAAAACAGTATGGAGATTCCTTAGAAAACTTGGAATGGAATCACCATTGACCCAGCTAGCCCACTCCTTGATCTATAACAAAGGACTTAAAATCAGCATACTATAGTGATCCAGCCATATCAATGTTCATAGCAGCTCAATTCACAATAGCTAAACTGTGGAACCAACCTAGATGCCCTTCAACAAATAGATAAAGAAACTGGTACATATACACTATGAAATATTACTCAGCATTAAAAGAGAATAAAATCATGGCATTTGCAGGCAAATGGATGGAAAATATCATGCTAAGTGAAGTAAGCCAATCCCAGAAAAACAAAGGCTGAATGTTTGCTCTGATAATTGATGCTGCTTGATAATGGGGGATGTGGAGGGAGCAAGGGGAGAATGGAGGAACTTTGGGCAAAGGGAAGGGAGGGAAAGGGAATGGGCATGGGGGCAGCAAAGATGGTGGAATGAGATGAACATCACTACCCTAAGTACATATATGACTACACATGTGGTATGACTCTACATCATGTACAATCAGAGAAAAGGTTGTGCTCCATTTGTGTACAATGAATCAAAATTCATTCTGCTATCGTGCATAACTAATTAGAAAAAATAAAAAATTAAAAATAAAACTTTTAAAAAATCCACCAATGGAGGACTTCCACTTTCAATCAGAATGTCAAGATCAAAGAAAATCATCACTTCAATGAGAAACAATAAATAAATTATTTTTCTTAAAAGCCACTAAAGATTTCTAGACACAAGTAAGTCTAAATGAACTGAATTTTCGAGAAGGACCAGCCTTCTCTAGTTGACCAGAAATTACTATTGCTTTCAATCCTTAGTAGCATTTACCCTACCTAAATACATAAAGAAAAAAATAGAGTTGTAGGCAAAGATCTTCTCCCAGAAAGCAGAGAAACCAGCCACACTTTTAATGCCTGGGAATAGGCAGAACAGAATCTGTAAGACCCCAAGAAGAAAACTAGTCTCCACTACTGTCCACTTTTCCTTCAAAGAACTTCTGTGGAATAAGCAATAATCATTAGAGGAAAGTGGCCTGAAAACAAAGAGAGAACTTGTACTCTTCCAGATCTTGGTTCCCAAGATCTTGACAGAGAAAGGAGCCGAGTAACAAAGCTGAAATTAGGAGTTCAAAATTTTTAAAGTAGTAAATCACCTAGACTGAAGAATAACATTAAAAGATCTAATGTATTAACAACTGCAGTTTCAATAAGATAAAATAGAGAAATAGTTGAAGGTAAAATCTAATAATGAAAGATTTGAACCCACAGATCCAAGCCCAACAAATACCAATGGAGACTTTTTTTTTTTTTTTAAGTCATACCTAAAGCCAAGCCCAGTGGCACACAGCTGTAATCCCAGCAATTTTGGAGGCTAAGGCAGGAGAATCACAAATTAGAGGCCAGACTCAGCATCATAAAGAGACCCTATCTTAAAATGAAAAACAAACAGGACTGAGCATGTAGTTCAATGATAAAGCATCCCTGGGTTCAATCTCCAGTACAAAACCAAACCAAACACTATTATATCCAAGATCTATACAATATACACATTAAAGTATACAGGAAGTTATCAATCAAAACAGAGTCTGTTGGTAAATAAAGAAAATCCTTACTAATTTCAAAGGTTTTAAGTCATGTGTTCTTTGACAACAACAGAATCAAATTACAAATCAATAACAAACACAAATATAACATACTGAAATGTGAAAGCAAATTTGTAGTTTTAAATTCATCAAGGAAAAGGGCTAAAATCAATTCTCTAGTTCAGAAATCAAATTTTTTTCTGTGAAGAGCTAAACTGTAAAAATTTCTCAAGATGATACCATGTCTCCGGCAACTCAACTCTGCCACTAAAACACATAAAATTTGATAATACAGTAAAATACAGTAACAAATAAGCACAGCTGTGTTCCAACAAATGGACTCTGCCAAACCCTGATATTAGGCAAACTAAAGAAAAAGCAAGGGCTGGGGCTGGGGTTTAGCAGTAGAGTGCTTGCCTAGCATGCATGAGGCCGTGAGTTCGATCCCCAGCACCACATAAAAATAAGTAAAATAAAGGCATTGTGTCCAACTACAACTTAAAATAAATTTAAAAAAAAAAAGAAAAAAACAAGTGGATCACACACAATAAACATCAAAGAAAAATCAATGAAATATAAAGAAGCTGATTTTGTGAAACTTGCCAACAAAGAAAACTCAGTGGGTTCACTGATGAATTCCATCGGGCACATAATGAAAAAAACAATACACAACTTGGAAAACTCAAAAGAATGGACTACTTCACAACCTGTTTATTAAGGAAAGCAAAATCCTGGTACTAATATATCAGAAAGAAAACTAAAAATAAATATCTCCCATAAATTTAGGTGAAAAAAAACCTAAGCAAATTTTCAGCAAATTAAGTCCAGCAATATTAAAAAGAATGATATTATCACAACTGGGTAACGTTTAGTCCAAAAATGCAATGCTCATATAATAGCAGACCGTACCCCCCAAAAATAAATGTCATTCACCATATTAACAAAATATGGGGGAAGACATCTTAATAGATACAAGAAAATCATTTGATGCCACTCAAAAATCATTCTTTTTTTTTAATAGTTGTAGATGGACAGCGTGCCTTTATTTGTTTCGTTTTTTTATGTGATGCTAAGGATCGAACCCAGTGCCTCACACATGGTAGGCAAGTGCTCTGCCACTGAGCTACAGCTA